GACAAATTCTTTTATTAAATGGCACATCACGGACCTTGCACGTAATTATACTCAATATATATTTGTCCATAAATATAAAGTATTTTAGGTTATTTAATAAAATTTTAAGGTGAAGGGTGAAATTATTCTGTTGTCTCAAAAATAAGTTGATTGGAAATTAAAGAACAGTCTAGCGATGTACTGCTCCCTCCGTCCTATAATATAAGGGATTTTATGTCCAAATTTATTATATTAGGATGTGTCACATCCATCCAAAATCCCTTATATTATAGGACGGAGGGAATACTAACTACTACTCTCTCCGTCCCAAAATAAACGCAGTCATGAATTTCCGTGCACAACTTTAATATTCCATCTTATTTAAATTTTTTTAAAAAATAAAAACATAACTATTCATGTTTTATAATCTAATAATAATAATATGCTAATTATAGAAAAATTTTAAATAAGACGGGCTACGTTTATTTTAGACGCATGGAGTACAGGGAACGCAACAAATAATGTCGTTGAATGCATGGATGAGATCAGATCGATCACGTGCAGGTACATGCATACAGTATGTATTTCACGTGGGTATACGCATGTGTCAGAAAACTATTGCATCGAACCAAACGCTTAGTTATATACGCCCTCGGAATTTGATGCAGCGAATTATCCACCCTGTACATTTGTTCACGAATGCTGGTGCGAATTGAATGCATGTGTATCACAATTAATTCACAGACCTGCGGGTCTCTCTTGTACTACATCCGTACTAAAATATAGTAATTTTTAGCTATATATCTAAATTTATAGTTAAAAATATTTACGTTTGAGACGGAGGAAGTAGTCTTAAAAAAAATTAGTGATCGGCCGTTGCACACTTGTACAGCTGACTACAGTGGCTGTCCGCCATGCTTGTACCCAATATTTTTATGTTTATAACAAATTTTTGTATTGTTCTTTTCAGGCCGGTACTACAACTACCAAAAAGGTCAACCGTATGGTGCTGGTGCAAACAATGTGGAGATTTTTACCCGTGTGCCATTAAAAAACATGATGCCTGCCTCTGTGCCACTAAAAAGTTCGAGCCTCTCTCTATGCCATCGTCAAACTTTATCGCGCCCTCCACACCATTCAGTCCTTTTTAGTCCTAACGGTGTCAAACAGCGCAACCAAATGACTTTGTTGCCCTTAGACTTGAGAGCCCATTTGGTGAAGTTTGTTTTCTTCTGTGCCATTCGGAGGGCAGCCATTCGGGCTCAGGGGCGCGGCCGGTGCAGCGGCGAGGCTAGGTGCGGCCGTCGCGGTGAAGGAGCAGATCGCGCGGCCGTCATGGTGAAGGAGCGCATTGCACGGGCCTTGCGGCTGTACAAGGAGGCGGCGGGCGGTGGCGGCAGCGGTGGCGGGTGGATGGTCCAGGTGTGGGCGCCGGTGAGGGACGGCGCCCGGCGCGTGCTCGCCACGCGGGGGCAGCCGTTCGTCCTGGCGTCGCAGTGCCACCGCCTGTTCCAGTACAGGACCGTCTCCCTCACGCGCGTCTTCCCCGTCGGTGGCGCCGCCGCCGCCGACAAGCAGGGGCTTCCCGCCAGGGCGTTCGACACGGGGACGCCGGAGTGGACGCCCAACGTGCAGTGCTACGGCAGCGGCGAGTACGCCCGCATTAGCTACGCGCTCATCTACGACATCCAGGGCAGCCTCTTCCTCCCTATCCTTGACCCCGACGACGCGAGCTCCCCCCTCGCCGTGCATGAGCTCGTCAGCACCGTGCTGCGGCTCCGCGGCTCCGGAGAGGTCGCCAACCTCTGCAACACTCTTGAGGCAATCTCTCTCTCGCTCTCTCGATCTATCTGCAACTAAGATCAAGAAATAATTAGCTACAGCAATTAGCAGGAGTGATTAGATTAGTGAACTGATTAACATTTCTTGTGTTCACTGAGAGGTGCAGGGATTACTCGCCGTGAACCAGATAGTGAATCCAGATGAGACCCGGGCGGCCATGGCCGAGGTATCGTAGCTCCTAACCATGGTGTGTGTCTGTGTGAAGCTCACAAGCTGCCATTGGCACGCAAACATGGGTGAGATGCAGGAGCGGCGGAAACGACACGGAGAAGGCCGCGCTGACGACCGCCGGCGCACCGTTCCACCTCGCCGCCGCCGCCGCCGGGCAAAGGAGGTGGTCGGGCGCCAGTTGGAGGGGTGGCCGGTGGCGCTGTCCGCTCGGCTCGGCGGAGACGGCGGTGACGAGGGAAGGGGAGGGCGGCGTGGCGGCGCGGGCGTCCAGCAACTCGGCCACGCTCGGCTGGGTGTTGGCTGGGAGTGACGCGGACACGGATGCCGCGGAGATAGGGGAATCGAGAGAGAAGAGAGAGTGAAAGGGCAAGAGCGACATTTTTCCTGCTCGAGCCCACATGCCAGAGCTACTAAACAGTTAAAACCAAACAGAATAGTGACGGAATGGTGTGAAGGGCGCGATAAAGTTCGACGATGGCATAAAGGGAGGTTCGAACTTTTTAGTGGCACAGAGGCAGGCACCATCTTTTTTAATGGCACACAGGGAAAAACCTCAACAATGTGTGTATGCGATGTTTGGATGCGCCATACTTTACCACAATTAAAATAAAGGCAGTTGTGATCGGTACAAAAGTGCGGTGTTGTTAATGTAAATTATATCGTGACACATGAAGACACGAGAGATCTACTTAGTTTCAGTGTAGATCCTATCAATTGGGATTAGAGCGTGCTAGACAGTTAGTTTGATACTACAACTGACAAGATAGATAAATTGATGATAAAAAAACCGACCGACCAATAAGCCGATGTAGTGATACTAGTCGATGTTGATAGGGTTTTGAACAAACGGCTATATATCCAATATAGATTCTGACACTTTGATAAAGACAATGGAAGCACTTGAACAAACAATTCAATCGGCCGATGATAATATGATGAAGTAGATGTCTTATGAACCAATCGACCGATATTGATATATAATATTAAATGTAAGCTCTATGGTTAAAGCATAAATCAGTTGGAAGTCCGATGTAAAAATAAGTTATCGGTTAATACTCCGATAAAACGCAGCACAAATAATATATAAACTTAGCAAGACTTAGATTGTTAGTAGTGACCTAACCGCGAGACAGTTCTAAATTGCGTCTGATCAAACAATCTTGGTAAGTTGATAGATCATCTATGCTAACGTGATAGATATAACAAATCTATTTAAAACAAATCGACTAAGGCTGAAGATCGGACCTAATCGAGACAATCCTAACTAAACCGGTATGTCTCTAAACAACACAGTGCAATTAAATATGTAATTGAAACATCACGTAGACAAATATACCAATCAAACCAGATTAATCTAAGAAATTGAAGTGATGTAGCCTTGAACAACACTAAAATAGCTTATACAATTGCTAGGGCCAACCGAACTTAGGGCTTACGCCTTCATGGGAGATCGAAGCAATGCAGCCCCGCGTCAGGTGCCAGTTTCGTCGGTGATAAAACCTCAAAAAAGAGGGCGGCAATGTTCTATAAATCTTATTGATCGAGAGATAATTTATAATAACCACGAGTGTATGTAATTATAGCCATAGGTAGACACTAGTACTCTCTCCGTCCCTAAATATTTGACGCCGTTGATTTTTTAAACATGTTTGACCGTTCGTCTTTTTTAAAAAAATTAAAGTAATTATTAATTCTTTTCTTATCATTTGATTCATTAAATATACTTTTATGTATACATATAGTTTTACATATTTCACAAAAGTTTTTAATAAGACGAACGGTCAAACTTGTTTAGAAAAATCAATAGCGTCAAATATTTAGGGACGGAGGGAGTCCTTCTTAGACACAACACAAACATTCCTAAAGATAAAGTAAAAGACACGAGCCTTGATCGGACTCTAAACAATCTCTCCTAAAAATAAAAAGAAAACTAACAGACGTTGCCAAATTAATAGATAAATTACCATGCCTCGTCCTTCTTAAACTCGACCTCTTCTGGATAAACTTCCTTTAATTAATTAATTTTCTTAACTGAATACACTAATAATTCGATTGCTGGCAGATGATATTTTTCATAGGTCAATTTTAGAACTCTGTGGTCGATACTGTCTAGGTCGATAACGACTTCGGGTTTACCAAATTTTAACGTTAACATGTGCACAATAGAAAAGTTAGAAAACAATTGCCTCTATGGGCATGTACAGTAGAGTCGCTGCAGCATGGTCATGTTTTCTCTTGTAAACTGGTACTGTGCTGTAGCAGCAATATCTGCCGAATAAACCTTACAATAACATGCTTTCTAGATTTATTAACATTAATATAAATATGAAAAATACTAAAATGACTTATATGTGAAACAGAGGGAGTAATAAATTACGGCCGTGTACCAAATTTAATTTGTTGGAGCATTAATTTGTTTACGTAGGATTAGGAAGTACTAGCTATAGATAAAAAAAACCCTGAATTATTGGAGCATCTCCGATTTTCCATGCATGAATGCATGACGACATTCTTGCTTGTCCTCTAGCTAAAAATAATTTTAGTTCCCACCCTAAAATTTTTCATCCTATCACATCGAACATTTGAACATCTACATGAAGTATTAAATATAGACTAAAAAAACTAATTGTATAAATTGCGACTAATTTGCGAGACGAATCTTTTAAGCCTAATTGCTCCATGATTTGACAATGTCGTGCTACAGCAAATATTAATTAGGCTTAATAAATTCGTCTCGCGGTTTACCAACGGATTCTGTAATTAGTTTTCTTATAAATGCCCGAACACTCCATGCGACACCCTATGTAATAACCGATGTGACACGTCAAAACTTTACACCCCTGAATCTAAACAGCCCCTAATTCTATCATCACCAGTGTATTCCCTTCATCAAACTATTTATAATAAATTATTAAATTAAACAATCGTGATCCACGTGCTGACAAGTAGGTCGCACCAACCACCCAGTTATCCTCTTCTTCACCGCTATAAAACCCCATGGCCTCCTCACACTTCCCCCCGCAGCTTGTTTAGCTTAATTAGCAGTAGCACAAAGCAGCAATATAATGGCGACGGCGGCGAGGCTGCTCCTCCTCCTCTTCCTCACGGCGGCAGCCAGCGCGTGGGAGATGAACATCCGGTTGCCGACGGAGATGCTGAACGGCGGCGAGGCCGTGGTGGCGCCGATCATCCACGCGCTGCGGCCGCTGCTGGGCTCCGGCGGGCAGCTGGCGGCGCGCGCCGGCGTGGCGTGCGACAGCTGGAGGCTAGGCGTGGAGGCACACAACGTGATCGGGTGGAAGACGGTGCCGGCCAGGTGCGAGGGCTACGTCGGCCACTACATGCTCGGGTGGCCACTACCGCCGTGACTCCGCCGTCGTCATCGACGAGGCCATCGCCTACGCCGAGAGCCTCCAGCTCTCCGGCAACGGCAAGGAGATCTGGGTGTTCGACATCGACGAGACCTCCCTCTCCAACCTCCCCTACTACGCCAAGCACGGATTCGGGTACGTATACTATACGTACACGTACACGTACACACCACTTTCCTTGCAGTATTACCTATACATATATATCTTGTATTATACGTGTATTGCTGCAGGTATATACGCCTCATTTCAGTTGGGACTTACACCGCGCGCTGACTTGGTTATACATTTATCTACTGGCAACTTGCTGGCAAGATAATACTACTATATATGAAAAAAATATCTAAAAATCTAGCTGATGTGACATAATTAATTAAGTGTCAAAATTATGATGAACTATTTAATGTGCATACAAATATACAGTATGTGAACGTATTATTAAATTGAGACCGGCCTGCCTAGTTCACAAATTAATATAGGAAATACTGGGGTATTACAAAATGTGAAGTCAAAGATGAAAAGTATATATCATCCAATTAATGAATATAACACAGTAAAACATTCTCAAAATAGTAAAAAATAGCAAGGAGATGCGCATCTATATATGCTTAGCAAGATTCCACCGGACATTCCAAGACCTCGCAAAGAACTAGATAACTTTAAGCATTATATTGATTAAGAGGATAAAAAGAACACTATGCACTTGTCCATGTGGCTATTTTTAGGCAAACCACTGAAACCTTTATTAGATTCTTCAATCAATAATTTATTACTAGCCTGTAGGAAGTCAGAACCCTAAAAAAACAGATTGGACCAGCAGATCAGGTAATGAGTGATGCAAACATGCACAGGCTGGCAGACAGTACATTTTGTCGGGCTTATATTGTCCAGCAGTCATATAAGTCAGATCCAAAATTCGTTCTTTCAAAAAAAAGATCCAAAATTTAATCGTTATACAAATTATGGGTGGATTTATGGACCACTGCATGATGAGGGCGTTAGTTAGATCTTTCACTAATTGTTAATTTTTTCAAATATGCACAAAAGTTGGAACTTTATTTTGAATTCCTGTAAGTTCTAAATTAATGAAGAGTTTCATTAATGATTTTTTACTAACACCCGGCAGAGCTACACTGTACAATGATACGAGCTTCCGCGAATACGTGGCGGAAGGGAGCGCGCCGGCGCTGCCGGAGACGAGGCGGTTGTACCGGCGGCTGCTCCAGCTCGGCGTCAAGCCGGTGTTCCTGACGGGCCGCACCGAGGACCAAAGGAACATCACCGTCACAAACCTCCGCCGGCAGGGATACTCCGGGTGGATGGAGTTGTTGCTCAAGCCAGCAGTGCACGCCGCCGGCGAGCTCCAGGGGTCCGCCGTTGCATACAAGTCCGGCGAGCGGCAAAAGCTGGAGGATGCCGGTTTCACCATCCTCGGTAACATTGGTGACCAATGGAGTGACATCCTCGGTACACCGGAGGGCGCCCGCACCTTCAAGCTGCCGGACCCCATGTACTACATCGGCTAGGTTGCTGAGTAACAAGTCCAATGAGGCCCAGACTCCGTGTCACGTGCGTTTCATCTTTGTTTTGTCTTGAAATGCTTCTAAGTTACAATAATTTTCGACGCGCGTCTATCTGTACTTTTCCTTGTGAGATTGATGAGATTTGTAATAGCATGTACGTGTAAGAGCGGTAAATCTATCTAGCTATGTACTATTGAGCAAGCTTGTCGCGTGCGTATCTTTGTCTAATAATTAAGAAAAATTGCAAGATATCTCACCAAATATCATCCTTAGTTTAAGATTTTCCTATATATATAAAACGATTTATTCCGAATACCTGTCCTTTTTCCTACTTATTTACCTTAGATTGACCCCGGCCCATTAGATGTAGTTCACGCCCTATTTTTTTTTCTTTCTTTTGCAAGTGTTATATGACTTAGCACATCTCTTGATAGACATGACCCCAAACATTCTTTTCAAAACAACAGTCGCATTGAACTCATCTTTCTCATTTTGAATTTGTCGAAAAACCAGCTGCCACGGAAGAGTACTCGTGACTACCGTCGCCCAATGGCATACTGGCCACCCTAAGTGGGGATGCTACGATCGTGTAATAAGCCTAGCAAATATGGGTGACGATCATGGTTCATCGTCTATGAGTATTTATACGGGCACATGATAATATATATGAAAGGGAACGGGCAGATCGAGGAGTATACATTATCTAAAAATACAGCTGATGTGATAATTAATTAATTATTGCCAAAGCTAGCTAGGATGAACGTGCATACAATATACAATATATGTGAACGTATAATTAAAATGAAACCGGCAGGCCCAGTGCATATATAGAAATAATACAAGAAGTACTCTGATATTGCAAAATGTGGAGTCTAACTTGAAAAGGTCGTCCAATTAATGAATATTATTAAGAACGAGATAATTCCAGGACCTCACGAAGAACGAGATAATTAACTTTAAATATATTGATAAAACATACTCCATTCTTAAAAAAAAATAACCTAGATGGTAATATGATCCATCCTATTACAATAAATGTGAACTAATCTCTCATATCTTCACTTAATTTAGGTTAAGTTTTTTTTTTTGAGGGGGATCACAAATGCATGGTGTATGAGGAAGGAAAAGATCATAGGTTCATTCATATTATCGATCGAGAGCACGTGCAGTACATTTTTAGAAAGATCACTGCTCCCTCCGTCCCATTTTAAGTGCAGTCATAATGTTCCGTGTCTAATTTGGATCGTTCGTCTTATTAAAAAAAATTTAAAAACATAAGTCAAGCACGAAGTACTATTTATGTTTTATCATCCCATAACAATAAAAATGCTAATTATAAAAAAAAATTAAATAAGATGGACGATTAAAGTTAGACACAGAAACTTATGATTGCACTTAAAATGGGACGGAGGGAGTAATAATCAAGATTTAATTATAAGTGGCCTGTCAGATGTCAGACCTACCTTTTAAAATACCTTTTAAAGAAAAAACGCATTGCACCACATCAGGCAATAAGTGATGCAAACATTTCACATGCTCGCAGATGGTACATTTTGTAGGCTAGATGTTGTCCAGCTGTCATATGTAGCAAGTCATATCCAAAATTTAATAATCGTGGTCTTGAGAAAAAAAAACAGAAGAAACAGAGTCTTTTACAAAGAAACAGAGCATATACTAACAACCGATAGAAAACAAATGGAAAAAGTATACTTTGACTCCCTGAACTATCGCTCAAGTATGATTCATATCCTCCAACCATAAAACCGGGTATATCGACTCCTTTAACTATTAAAACTGGTGCAAACAATATCCCTAGGTGGTTTTGACTGATGTGGCGCCTACGTGGCGGTTTTGACTGAGTCTTTGTCCTATACGTGGACTTGCATGGCATTAGAATAAAAAAAATATGTAGAACCCATATGTCATTCACACAAAAAAAAAAGTATTGTGGGACCCACTAACATATGGGACCCACATGTCATCCTCCCTCTCCTTTCCTTCTTCCTCCCCTTCTTTCTCCCTTATCCCACTCTCTCCCCCTGGCCTTTCTCTTCACCAGAGTGGCGGCGGCGGCGGTGGGGAGCGGTGGCGGTGGGGACGATGGCGGCGGGGAGCGGTGGCGGCTGTGGCGGTGGGGAGCGGCGGTAGCGGCAGTCGGGAGCTGAACCGCTCCATGGCGGGCGAAGCCTCGTTGGCCTACTCGTGGTCGTCCTCCTCGTGCTCGTCCTGTTGATGATGGTGGCGATGGTGGTGGTGGGAGCGGCGGCCGTGGTGGAACCTCGCCATCTCATCCTCGTCTTCCTCCTCGGCCTCGCCATGGACCGGCTCCTCAGCGGCCGCGACAGCGGCATCGTCACTCGAGTTAGGATCTGGCTCCGCGACAGGGAGCACCACGGTGTTCGCCGTCGCCGACTCGATGGGCATCTCGGCCACCATCTACATCTCGGCCGCCTCGTCCCCACCGCCACCGCCACCGCCGCCGTCACTCCCCGCCGCCATCGTCCCCATGTCAGTCGCGGATAAGAGAGAGATAAGGGAGAGAGAGGGGGAGGAAGAAGGGGAGGAGAGGGAGGATGACATGTGGGTCCCACATTACTTTTTTTTTATTCTAGCGCCACGTAAGTGCCACGTTGGACAAAGACTCGGTCAAGACCGCCACGTAGGCGTCACGTCAGCCAAAACCACCTCTAAAACCACCTAGGGACATTGTTTGCACCGGTTTTGATAGTTGGAGGAGTCGATACCCGGTTTTGTGGTTGGAGGAGATGAATCATACTCAGGCGATAGTTGAGGGAGTCAAAATACTTTTTCCAAAACAAATACTGGGGGAATTCCAATACTAGGATCGACAACTTAATTATCAAAAGAGGTCCCCAAAATTCATATGAGTTAGCAACTTATAGATACCCTAAGCCAAAGCAAAACAAATCGTCAGATAATTACAGCTGAATCTATCCCTTTTTCTCTTTTCTTTTACAGCGGCATGTATTATTTTCATATGCAGTTGCCTCCTTGTATGGCAGAGCGAAACGGGCGATTCGCAGTGCTCTGGTCAAAGCGCTATTGTGGTTGTGTGCGCGCTTGCTCTCGTGTTAATGCATTTAAGCGACCATGCCCGGTTTGCCCGTATATAAGGGGCAAGTAGATGTTCATATTTTTACATAAAGACTACTGATACTCTAGAAAATTGCGAAGAAATCCTCCTATCACCAATACCTCGTTGTGCTTTTTTATGGTAAAACATTTTGACCTTGAGTGAAATATAATGCGAAGAAACGGAAGTTCCGTTTCTAATTATATCGCACTAAATCTTAAAAGTATCAGGACATTCTCATAAAAATACATCAAAATCCAACATCAATCCTATCCCACCTCTTGTTTAGCGCCTACCGTACCCATCCCTACACCCAACACCTCCCTGCCTTCCTCCCATACACCATCCGCCTATGCCTCCCCTAGCTGACCAGCCATTGTTGCTCTCTCAACCCCTTAAGCTCACGCCCTCCTCGTCCTGGCATCCATGCTGCCTTTTCCCCTTCTTGATCCAGCCATGGCTATTCTAAGGGGAGGAGTCTAGCGGTGGACTTGCTGACAAGGGAGACGATGGGTGTAAGCATTACCGCTGAGCCACCCTCACCCCACGCTGGCGCGGGATTATCCTACACCGGTGCTCCCAGATCCTCGCCTCCCGCCACCCACTCTTCCTCGGTCACGCCTCCTACCACCGTCCCCGCCTCCTGCAAATCGAGGAAGGTGGACGGTAGACCTCAGCAAGGAGGCGTGGAGGTGGACGTCAGCGTCGCGGAGGACCTCGTGGCCCTCGAGTCGGCATGGGGACAATGTGGAGTTTGTCGGTGATGACGAGCAAGGCCATCGGAGGGGAGCAGGAACAGTGGATGCACCATGCGTGGGCTCTGGCGCCGCCACTCGTCCTCCCTCCAGCACCTTCGTCTCCTCTTCTCCTCTTCCACTTTCTAGCGGAGGCAACTGCTTTGGATGGCGTGGCTAGAGACGATAACAATACCTCAGACCTCAATGGGGCGGCTCACAAGGACGAGCTTGAAGGCAACATCCTTTTCTCCACCGCTATCCTCCTCTAGCTCGACATGAGGCGCTCTCCTCTATCCCTCCCATCCGCTGGCGAGCCGCACCCTTCACCGTTGTGTGACCATGTACTTCTTTCCTATCATTGGGTGGGGTGAGAACCTCAGTGGTAGTGCGCGGGAATTGGGGAGCAACTCGGCGGCCTGTTTCCATCAAGCTCAGCGGCGAGTGTGGCGACTGCAAACCCTTTTGACCTCCCCACTCCTCAGCGGCGACAACAACGACGACCCAGTGCAGCTGGAGCTGCTGGCCAAGGCGGCTTTCGTGGGTGCGGCTGTGTGCTGGGCCATTTGGTTAACTCGCGGAATTATTGGCTCTTTAAAAATGTTTTGAATAAATCCTAGGTGGTGTACAGTATAGTGCTTTCTCCTTGATGCAAAGGTGCAAAGGGTTATTTCTATTTTGAAGAACCTTACCTTATCTTCGTTGATATAAAAGTTAGTCGATATAGCGGAACGACGACTAACCTTCCTGATCGCTTCAGTCATTGATCACCCAAGACATGCCAGATGACGACACAAGAACACACAATATTTGTTAACGAGGTTCAGCCGAAGCCTACATCCTCGGGGCTCTGATTATGGGCGCTCCTCCCCAACCAATATAGCTCCTAGCCGCTACGAGTCCATGGCCTCACCGCCATCCTCTCCCTACGTGTCTACACTGCATTGTAGTCGCCATGGTTACATTGTGGGTGCCCCCTTCTCTATTTAAGAGAGTTGCCGGGTTACAGAGTTTGACTCTAATTCCACCCCTAACACCTATATCACAATTCCAAGTCGAACTGTAACCAAATAGAACTAGTATATTTGACGTCTATTCTAACAAACTCCACCTAGAAGTAGTAGAATCACCATGCCGACCCACCTGTCTTCTAGACTTGAGTTGTTTCCTTTTCGTAGCTTCATCACAAGCCACCCGACAAGTCTGCACCAGACTCACTGCCATCAAGAGACTCCGCTATCCCTGCAACTTCTTCCTCTGGACTTCACCTATAACAGTGCTCCACCTTCTCTCTTATCATCACAGTCGTCTTACCAAGCGAAATTGAACTCCTCCTTAGCTTTCTTATCATAGACTCCTTGAAGACCATGTTCACCTCATCTTCCATCTTTGATTTTATTTAATCTAATCCATGGTTTATAACCCGCGTCATCACCAAATAGATAAATCAAACTC